GTAACCCTAACCCTTAACCCTAACCCTAACCCTAAACCTAACCCTAACGCTTAATGTAACCCTAACCCTTAACCCTAACCCTAACCCTAAACCTAACCCTTATCTTTACGTGAATCGGCTTGCTTTAAAAGCGCTTTTTAAAGCGCCCTTTTTTCTCTGCGGTTGTATTTGTCGCGCTGCTGATGATGTCAGGTACGCGCTTTAATCGGGTGCGCTTTAGTGGACCGCGGTTTTGTCGTGCCACATTGCTTACCATACATAGGGAGGCTGTAAGGACCTGAGAACACCAACAGTATTATTTCTTCATTTCTTTAGATACTGCAATAAATATATAGTGCTGCAGTTTAACACATCTTGTTAAAGGCTTGGCAGGTGCAATTTTTTCCAGATGCATCTCTTGAATTACACCTGCAATTAGGTAGTGTTGAAAATGTCTTGTGAACTTTTGAAGTGCTTGTAACTACAGTAAGAAGGTTAAGCTGTGATTGTAATCTCCTTCAAAATAGATGCCAGAGGAAGAAGCCTTCTGTGTATTTTTTAAATTAATGCAAGATTATCGACTTCGAGAACTCTTCAAACCAAGTATGGCTGAGCTGGGCCTTTGTATGTATCAATTTGAATCCATGATACAGGTACATAAAAAAAAATCTGTTATCTCTCGCCCATATTGTTGTTAAGCAGTAGGTTTAAAAAGATGAGCGTATAAGCATTAATCAATTGCAAAAAGGATTCAATAATTGCAGAAAAATACCAAAGCATAGAATGTAGAAAACAATAATACTGTTATCTATGATTTTTAAGACATTGTTTTTTGTATTTTGAGCATGTTCTCTATGTAAAATGTTTTAATGAGGTAACACTGCTTCATTTCTAATTATAATGACATAAAATGGTTTAATGTACTTTTAAATAATCTCTAATGATTTTATCTCTAATAATCTCTAATAATAATCTCTAATGACATATGAAGTCCTCCAGATTGGATTTCAAATTCCAATGTCTAACTATGTAAAATATTTTAAAATACTTATTTCAGAAACATTATTGAAAGCAACTTTTTGATTTGTTTCTTCTTTCAGGAGCAACTTCCAGAGCTTTTCATGCATTTCCAGGCCCAGAGTTTCCACACTTCTATGTATGCGTCCTCATGGTTCTTAACTATTTTTCTTACATCTTTCCCACTACCAATTGCAACAAGAATATTTGATATATTTATGTCTGAGGTAAGCTATCATGACTATCAAATTAGATGATGGCTAAGATTTTGTGTTTCTGGGGAAGCTGAATTCAAATCCCCATTTATAATGGATTATAATAGATCAATGTAAGGCTAATTTAAAAATTCTTAAATAATAAGCATTGCAGATATGAATTTGGAAAAAAAATAATGATATTATTCACAGGGTTTAGAGATTGTTTTTCGGGTTGGCGTGGCACTGCTTCAGATGAATCAAGTAGAATTAGTGCAACTTGACATGGAAGGGATGTTACAGGTAAGCTAAATACACCATTGTATTGTATTACTTGACACAGGGAGTATAAATCCGTATTTCTCACTTCTGACTCTATGCTTTCATTTTCTTTCCAGCACTTTCAAAAGGTTGTTCCACATCAATTTGATGGTGGACCAGACAAGTTAATCCAAATGGCTTACCAAGTTAAATATAATGCAAAAAAGATGAAAAAGTAAGTATTTCCTTTCTTTAAAAATGCCACCATGCTACCGTGTTTCCCCGAAAATAAGACCATTATTTTCTTTTTACTCACAAAATATGGCTTGGGCCTTATTATGAGGGGAGGGTTTATTGTTTTGGGGTTGCGAGGCGGCTGCTCTCTCTCGTGAGCGGGCTCCCAAAGAGCCGGGCACAGCTTCATGGGCGAATGGCTGTGTTGCGCTGTCGCAGCAGTGCAACACAACAGCCATGAAGCGACCATGCTCATGAGCAGCCACCTGGCAAACCCCCTTTCCAGCCGGGCACAGCGCCATTCACTGACCTAGGGGTATCGCCAAGCCGCGTGAGCGCCTGTTTGCCACTGCCTGGCTCCTGTGGCTTAGCGCCTTCGAAATGCCAGTGAATGCCGCTCTGCACGGCTGGAAAGGGGGTTTGCCGGGTGGCTGCTCGTGAGCATGGTCGCTTCATGGCTGTGCCCGGCTCTTTGGGAGCCCGCTCGCAAGAGAGCAGCTGCCCGGCAACCCCCCTCTTTAGCAGGGCACAGCGTGGCTCACCAACCTAGCGGTATCCCGAAGGCACCAAGCAACGCGATCACTTTTGCCTCCCCCCCCCCTGGTTCCCATGGCTTTGCACCTTTGGGACACTGCTAGGTTGTGAGCGGAGCTCTGCCTAGCAGCAGGTGGGAGGTTGTCCAGGGGGCTTATTTGCGGGGGAGGGCTTATATTTTTGCCCACCAGAAAAATGTGGCATGGCCTTATTATCAGGACATGTCGTATTTTCGGGGAAACACGGTATTATAACAAAGAGGTGAATCATTGAATTATGTCATTCACTTTCTACATAAATACGTGGGTTTTATTATATAGATGTTTCTAGAAAATCAATTTATTTGCCAGTCATATAAACAAGAGTTTATTCTCATCCCTAGATAGAAAATGTAGGCACCTTCATTTTCTCTCTATAGGGCCTATTCTTCTGGCCTACCCATTATCTAACCTTCATTTCTTTCTCACCCCTGCCTCCCCATAGCCACTGATGCCCCATAGAAATTAATATGAACAATAAGTACTAGTAAGTACAGTTACATATTATTAAAAGGAGATTATCATGTCTTTTTCAATATTCTTTAGGCTAGAAAAAGAATATACTACTATAAAAACAAAGGAATTGGAAGAACAAGTTGAAATTAAGGTAAGTGGTTAATTATCTGAGCAAAGTAATAGGAATTTTTATTACTTGTGTAATTAAAAAAAACAGATTGGACAGGATTATTATTACAAAACATGAAGTATATATTTTTGGGGTTTATTTCATTTATTTTTATTTTTATTTGTTTTGTTGTTTTAATATAGCCATTTTAAGGATTCTGTTGTAGGTTTTTTTTTTAAAAATTGATGAATATAACAGGAAATACAGAAGTTAATAGAATTATGCTAATTCAGAAGTAGCTCTGAGAATCAGTGTTTTATAAATGGTTTGAATATTAGGTTTCATTTTGAATTAGTTCAAAATTATCTTCTGCCAGAAGAGTACTGAAACTAATATTGTGCGAGATGTGATGTAAAAGGAAAAATCAAGAATCCATTGTTTTAAGACCTTTGGAATAAATATCTTTCTACTATATGCCAGAGTTTAATAGAAAATTTAACATTTAAATTTAATACATGCACATCTGAATATATTTTAATGAGAAACCAAGCAGCATTCATAGTGTTGAGTACCATATTTAAAATCTACTGTATTTTTCAGAGTATAAAACGCACCGGAGTATAAGACGCACCAAGGTTTTGAAGAGGCAATTTTTTAAAAAAAAGTTTTTGCACTCTGCAAACCTCCCCAAAACGGGCCATTTTTCGCGAAAACAGCACCATTTTTTTTTTCAAAAAAAAAAAAAGGGGGCATGAATAGCCCCTAGGCTTGTCAAGTGCTCCGGGGGGGAGGGGCAAAAACGAGCAAAAAATGGCCTGTTTTTTGCTCATTTCTGCCCTTCCCAGCCCCAGGAGCTCTCTGAAAGCCTCCTTCAAGCTATGCATGGTCATTTTGGTGAAGGGGGCGGAGTTTCAGGAGGCAAAAAATGCTGTATTCAGTGTATAAGATGCACCCAGATTTCCAGCCTCTTTTTTGAGGAAAAAAGGTGCATCTTATACTCTGAAAAATACGGTAGCTGTAAGCAATTCTGAATTAAGTTGTAACTTCCCTGATGATCACTGACACATCAGCTTCCATATTTATTTGTTTGTTTGTTTATTAAATTTATATGCCGCCCATCTTGTTATTTGAAGCAGCTCTGGGAGGCTTACAAAATGTTATAACTTTACACCATTAGAAAGGAGCGGGGTATGAGATACATCAGGAGTCTGTTTTCCCCTTTGAGGAAATACTGAGAAGCATCTAGCTTTGAGTCTAACAGCTGTTATAAGCCTTGCAGTCTACAGAACGACCCATATTCTTTTTAAAAACATTAACCTCCTTCAGTTTCAGAAGATAGAAGTTATTTGATAAATATTTCAGATAATATTCTTTACAGTTTTGCTTGATTTTCAGAGATTGAGAACAGAAAACAGACTCTTAAAACAGCGAATTGAAACGCTGGAAAAAGTAAGTGTCCAAGAAACTGAAGCCTGAATTATGTTAGTTATAAATATTTTATTAATAAGAGAATAGCTGCATGAAGATTAATATGTGGTGTTATTTCTGTTCTTTGTATTGATGGGCTTTCATAATAAGATTTGATTTTTTAAAGTATACATGGAGTTGCCATTTTGTACGAAAACGTAAGCATGGGTATCATGGAATTCACTGGGAGAGGGGAATTAAAGTATATTTACAATGGATAACACTCAACAGTTGGCATCTTCAGGTACAAAAAGGAAACCAAGTCATTTTCTACTGTGCATTAAGAAAAGAATTCTTCGCATTTGTGTAACAGTTTTTCCACCTATATTTTCCATTTATTTGGTGCTTACAATTAACTGAGAAAATATGACAACCTGTCTAGCTGCTGTCTATTTTTTTCAAACTTGAATTATTTTTAGAAATTTTGTTTTTGCTCCAAGCTTATCACAGAAAATAAAACACAGGCGAATTACATCATTTGTCAATTGTTCATTAAATCTTTGCTTGAGTTATGCTTAAATCAAATGAAGAATTTTATTTCCCCCTCATACTGCTGCAAATATACTCATCATTTATTTATATATTTATTAAATTTATATTGCTGTCTATTCGCCCATGGCAACTCAAGGCACTTCCAGATTTTTAAGACCAGAATAGCTATCTTTATCCTTTTCCTTTGAAGAACTGTGAAGAATGGAGTTTCTGTCAAATTCCAAATTAATTATGTCTCTATCCAAATATCGGTAATTTCTAATAAGATCAAATAAACTGTCTCCCATTTTGCCTCATCCTTTAATTCCTAGATGTACTGTAGACATATAAAGAATGACATGTAATCATTTTAGAAAATTGGATCCTTTTCTATGAGCCATGTTTTTTTCCTCTTGACAGTTAGAGGATCAAGTATGTTCCAAAATCAGCCTGTTTCATTAATTTTCAGAAGTGGGGGAGGGAGAGAGAAGAGTGCAAGTAATAGTGTCAGAATCAAGTTCTTAATGAAGGAAAAAACTGTGTCAGGCAGTTGCATGGTGAAGATGAAAATGTATTTAAACAGAAATAACTGGACCTAGCATAATTATGTAACAGTGAGGTGAAGAATAGCAATGATAACAGTTTATTTTTAAAAATGAAGTGTTGTATATATCATTTAAATTCTCGATGCAGCATTGTTAGAAAATATGGATTAAAATGTACATAATTGGGTTGTGTCGTGCCAGATATTTGTTCCATTTCAGTTTGTTCCATTTTTTTAATCTGCAGAAGGTACTGCAAATAAACTTGTGGTGTGTGAAATATTTACCAATGAGAGGGCAATCTGAAAAACCCTACTTTCCTTGGGAATGTGGAAATAAGATGAACATTTCCCAGGGGTGAAAGCTATGATTAATAGCTCATATTGGCCTGGTACTTATATCAAGAACAGCAGAAAATCTGAAGCATAAGGAAATGGTCAAAAATATTCTGTTTCTTCAATGTTCCTGCTTTTATAAGGCTATCATCACTTTTCAAATGTTTACTTTTAGGGCAGAATTTTATTTTGTTCTTATTAGTAGAGGCAGCAATAACTGCAAGAATTAGAGAATCTATCCTAATTTTCTGCTCTATGCCTAAGCAGCGATGATTCAGTTTCCTATTAGCAGTGGAGGTTTTTTATTTTGTCCCAAATAAGATGAAGATATTGCTTGCTATGGTTTTAAAAGTAGAATGAAGTGGTTTTCACACATCTGTTCTTAAGGTTTCTGTAATATCCAAAAATGTAGTTATCAGATTAAATATATGATGGAAATATCTAATTCAGTCTAATCAAATCTTGCTCCCAGCCCCTAAAATATATTTTTTAAAAACGTAGCAGTAAGTAGAATTTAGGGTCTGCCGTTCATCTTGAAATGTTCTTGTACTTCTTTTATTTGGCATATTTCTGAATGGTCTCAGATTTAGAAAATCTGTTGGTTCTTACAAAGCTCAACCCAAAGGATCTAAGGCAGGGGTCGGCAACCTTAAACACTCAAAGAGCCACAAAGGTCCTAACTGGAAGCCCCTCGTTCAATTCTGGAGCCAACCGGAACGCCGGTTCCCCCATAAGAGTCTCCTCCTTTTTCCTCTACCTGTCCTAACTGAAAGCCCTATCAATTGTGGAGCCAACTGGAAAACCCACCTTTTGTCATAGCATCTCCTCCTTGTACACTGTGCTTCCCCACCCTCCACCCCACCCCGTAGTTCCTTTCAAAATTGTGGTGCTGACCAGCGACAGGGAGCTGCAGCAGAGGTATGAAAGAGCCACATGCGGCTCCAGAGCTGTGTGTTGCTGACCCCTGATCTAAGGGCTAATATTCCCTTTTTCCATCCTATGTATAAATTATGTCATGCTACATTCTTACAAGCTTTTTAGAGATCCGTCTCCATTTTAGGAAAGCTTGAAAAGTAACGGCCTAGTAAGTATGGGTAGCCCGTCTTCTAGGATAGATCTTATTATGCCTAGCTTTTAAATTTAGGTAAGTCAATATCCCTAGGAAAGGCTATGATTCAGGAAGTGTTCTTGAATGATTAGCTAGTACCTTCTTTGAATATTTTTAATGTATTTTGGTGTCTATCAATATGACATCATTGAGAGCCTTCTCCTCAGCTGTAGAAAGCTTGTTGCCACTCATAGCATGAAATATAACCCATCCTTCCTTCTCTGATAGATATTCCGTGGGAATAGATAAGATTCCTTTTTTCTGATACTTATCACAGCTCTTTAAAAAAAAATATTTCGAAAAGTAAAAGAGCCATAAAAGTTTAGTTCTTGATCCCAAAACTTTGTTTTTCTTCCCTAGGATATGGCTATTCCCCATAACGAGAACTGTCCTTAGTATGTTCTGAGGAAATATTACTTGTTACTAAAAGTTTCTGTCTTGGATCTCACAAAGTAGATGGAGATTGCCTTCCTAAATCATATCACTTTAGAAAAAGATTAAGATCTCAAATCATCTTGAATATATTGTCTACAGCAGTGGTTCCCAAACTTGGCAACTTTAAGACTTGTGGACTTCAATTCACAAGCTCTGCTGGCTGGAGAATTCTGGGAATTGAAGTCCACAAGTCTTAAAGTTGCCAAGTTTGGGAACCACTGGTCTACAGTATGAATTCTCCCTAATCTGTACATATCCAGAAGTTTATCTAATCTAATCTGCTAGTACAAACACATTTTCATTTAGTTGTGTCCTTTGCTCCTTAAAGCAAATTTTGCATGTGGCTCTGCTGATTTATCTTGTTCCGAGTTGCTGTATTTACAGGTAGAAATGTCTGATACATTTGTGGTTAAGGTGGATGTTTCTGAATTAAAAAAATGACAGAATATTTGAATTACTCTGAAAGTTTTCTTCCATTGTAAATGATGAATTAGCCAGATTTGGCTAAAATTAGCCATATTTCATTTGTATACTTCAGGTCTTCATACTTTTTCATTACTGAATTCTTATTCCTTAAATCCTGTTTAGTAAAAGTAGTTTCACCTTTCTTGGGTAGTCACACTTTTAAAATATGCTCAGATTATGCCTCCTTTCAGTTTATAATACTTCGACCAAATATATTCTACACGTAACTGCAGAATTCTCTATGCAAGGAACTATTGAACTTTAAAGAAAAATGTAAAAATATGTTATTTTTCAAAATCAATGCTATGCTACCGAAAGATTTGACTATTGGGAAAATGCATGCTTTAACTTTATTGTATTGGGAAAGTAGGTAAAATTTGAGCATAATTCCCTGTTTTTACTCTGTTGCTTTATTTCTCCTTTCTCTTATTTCTGTCTGAATTTTTTCCCCTTTTTGTAGGAAAGTGCTTCCTTGGCAGATAGATTGATACAGGTATACTACTTGAGTATTTCACACTAATTATTTTCTCTGCTACCAAACAAGCCCTTAGCTTTCTATTTTTAGTGCATGGATAACTACATGCATTTTCATATGAAATGTTTACTGTAATTAATTGAGCAATTGTGCCATATCAGATAATATCTAAGCACATGCCTGCATGTTACTTCTAATAACATCCAGGATTCTTAATCACTGGTGGGCTCTCATCTTTTGCCACTAATTCTGTAGATTACTATGAACTTGTAACGGACGTGTGCATGCACAAATGAAATAATAAATGCATGAACAGAGTTCAACTGAATGCAGGTACACAACTGACCATGCTTAAGAATACTAAACATTTTAAGGTGGTGCAGTAACTAAACTGCTTTAATTTACTAAATTGATGTATTGGCTTGTTAACGCTTATGTGACAATTTGCAAGAACTTAACCGTACGGCAGAATAAATATGTAAAATTCTCGGTCTTCCCTGGATCGATCTTCCAATTGCTTTAAAAAGAAAATTATGTCCTAAGGGACAAGTGACGAGGGCCCAGGAAGCTGAGGAAAACTATCTTACAAAACGGGAGCTAGCCACCATCAAACAACAGAGTGATGAGGCCATTACTAAACTAGAGCAAGCTGAGAATACCATCAGAGAGCTCCAGCAACAGCAACAATGGGTAAGGCTGATAGCACCTTGATCTCTGGTCTTCCTCTTTTACTTGTGCGTATTTGTATCCATCGTGGCTTGGTTTCTGTTCTGTTCTACCCTGTTCTTCCAAATACACTGAATATGGTTGAATCTTCATTGATAAAAGGAAACTGAAAGTGAGTGAAGTATCCCGTATGAATCTTAATTTACTGCAAAGCAAAACCTATTGATTTTAATGAGCCAACTTCCTAATATATTTCCTTATGATCACATCTGGCATATATAAGCAAATGACTATAAAGTGTAATTGCAGCAGCCCCCCACGCCCCCCACGCAAACAAGCAAAGCCCCATCCGTGGGATGCAGGCAGCATGCAACACCCTCACCTCCAGTCTGCAGAAAAAACTCTCCACGGAACTGGTCCCTGGTACCCAAAAGGTTGGGGGGGGGGATCTGAATTACAGAATGCCTACATATCTCTCTCTTTCTATTCACACAGTATTATGTGGCTAGATATATAATTTGACAAATTTTTGCAAAATTTAAAAAAGCACTTAGGAGAGAATGATAAAAGCATTTTACTATGCATCATTAAGTTGTCAATGTAATGTGTCAGAATTACCATTAAAAGCTATTAGCTGTTATCAGCTGAATGCCCTCCGAATATGATAGACTGCGATTTCGAGTTTTCCAGCTAGCAATTTTGGGAGTCTGGCCCATTTGGAGGACATATATTTGGATAAAGTTAGAAGCCTCAGTTGCAGAAGTTTTTTTTAAATGTATTAGTTTCATATGCAAATTTGGATCAAATGAGTTTCGAAAAAAAAATATTTTCGTTTTGTATCTGAATACAAGTAGTCCTCAACTTACAGCAGTTCAGTTAATGACTGTTCGAAGTTACAACTGCACTGAAGAAAGTGACCTACAACCATTTTTGACATTTATGACCATTGCAGCATCCCCATGGTCATGTGATTCACATTCGGATACTTGGCAACTGATTCACATTTATGACGGTTGCAGTGTCCAAAGGTCATGTGATCACCTTTTACAAGACAAGCAAAGTCAATGGGAAAGCCAGATTCACTTAACGACCGTGTTACTAATTTAACAGCCGCGGTGATGCGCTTAACAAATATGGCAAGAAAAGTCATCAAATGGGACAAAACAAATTTCTCATTTAGCAACATAAATTCTGGGCTCAATTATAGTCGTAAGTCGGGGGCTACTTGTACATAGAAACGTTTTCATTTTGTCTGTACTGTTTGAAAAACATTGGAAGATGATTTTCCCAAACTAGAATTGGTTTCAGCTTTACTGTGAAGAAAATAACTTTGTTACTAAACCTGTTTTGTTTGCTCATTAGCAAATAATTGATAACTAAGAAACATCTTACAGCCTCTTACTTTTGTTGATAAGATTGGGTTAGAACAAATGATAATAATGTGGGGTTACGGAAGCAGAAGGAAAAATAACATTTCCATAAGAATAGCTTTACTATGGTTAAGTTCTAGCAGAACTACGGTAATAACAAAGAAAGCAGAAGTACAGGACTTGATTGTAATCTTATGGATTCTGTGGAACAGATGGATGATTAGCTTGCTGTGAAAGAAAGAGATTCTTGTTCTTGATTAGTTGAATGTGTGAAATAAAGAGATTATGGAGCCTAGCTCTTTCTGCCATGCTGCTTGTCTTCCAACCTACGATTGCAAATGGACTGCAACATTAAAGCCAGTGGTGGGATTCAAATAATTTAACAACCGGTTCTCTGCCCTGATGACCAGCTGGGTAGGCGAGGATCAGTGGTCATGTGACTGGGTGGGCGTGGCCAACTCAACATCACTCAGGTCGATGGGCGCTTCGCCTTAGCTGTTACAATGTAACAAGAGTTAATTGGAGAGGAAGTTTCTGTAAGCAGGGTAATAAAGATTAGGCTAGAAACAACACCAGAATGTTTCCTTCCTGCCTTCCTTACAGGATTAGCTCTGTAAAGTGGAGGAGGGGAGACAAAATGAGATTTCTTCCAACAACCGGTTCTCCGAACTGCTTAGAAAGTTAAGAACCGGTTCTCCCGGATAGGTGCGAATTGGCTGAATCCCACCACTGATTAAATCTATTGTTACTGTCTACTGGTAACAATGTAGAAGCGTAGATGGGATAGGACTCACAAAGAAAATACAGCTTTCTGGAGATAATTATAGTTTTGCAAGTATAGAAGACGGCTTTTCAGAAGTTATTTCCAATAATAAAGTTTTGTTTGTGAGCACTTTCAGAATTCTTAAGATTGTAGTAGACTCTCTTACATTAATCATTAATCCTGCTACTGTGATTCTTGCATTGCAAAATCAATGGTTCAGTTTATTGTTTAATAATAGTGCTTTATGTTTAAAATAAGGATTACATTCTGATCAATAATATAAATAGTAGCATTAGAAACTTTTTTTAAAAAGTTCTTAGTATGTTTATGCAAGCATTTTAGGGGTTGGTTTAGGTTAATTTTTAATCTTTGTGATATCCCTTTCTGACCTGTTATAAGTTCAATTGAGAGGGAATGGCTACTGGAATAGGGTAACACAATTAATATGTTCTGTTAAAACATAAATGCCTAAAGTTTTCAATATAATTGTTCCTTTGGTAAAACATTATTTAAGCTTAATTTCTTCATCAGCCCATTTTCTGAATATTTTTAAATTTATTTTTGCCCCTTTAATGGGAAAAAAATGCTTATTTTAGTGTTGACAGTATATATTCACAGTCCATTATTTTAATGAGGTGTAGATTTATCATCACAGTTCCTCTTCCTCAGCTGAAAGTTCACACTTAATGCATTGATAAATTCTAAATTCTGGAAATATAACCAAGGAGAGCATATGCATGATGTCAGCTCCGGCCAGCCCAGAGGCCTGGAGCTGCCATTCAGGGGAGAAACCCAGGCCAGCTGCCAAGACTCCTCAGGCTTCCCTCCTACACAAACAGCTGAGTAAATCTACAAAGCTAGTGATAACTGACAACAATCCGCGATTAATTGCCGGGTGGTGTTTGTTTTGGGTTACGAGGGGATGGGTGTGCACATGCGCGAGGTGCAGGTTATCCTAATTACTAAGTAACTATAAAAGATGGTGGGGAGCACCGGGTGGCAGCTTTGACAATTTATTCATTGCCTTAGTGCTTTCTTGGTCAGTTCCTGCCAAAGGAAGAATATAAACTAAATTTCAAACCGTTTCTGTGTTTGGCTGTTTTCATTAACTCTTCGGAACCTGACACACGATTTATACAACAGGATTAGTCCAATCGCATGCGTACAATCCTGGTGATTCAGCCCAAATTGTAGCAATAAAAGACCAAATTCATATCAGATGAAATAGTAGTCCACTTCTTTGAGGTGTCCAATATACGCAAAACAATTTTTTTTCTTCTGAATTTGCATTTCGGTAGGTTGTGATATTTTTCAGATCCTGATACAGCATTTGTGCTAGGTGCTACATTCTAGTTCTAATTGATTTGCATAACCTTAAAAGAATTACAAATTGCTTGGTATGTATATAGATTCTGGGAATCGTCCGAGACAGCCATCAGAAATAAATCATTGAATTCTATAGCCTTGGACAAGAATATAGATTTCTTAGAACATTTGGATAGATAAGTGGATTACAAATTCATTTCAGCTGAGGTAATTAAAGAAAGTACAGCAAGATTTTAGCATTGACTTCGTAGTCATGAAGAATGTGGTGAGAAGTATTGGATAGATGCCACAGGAAGGAAGTGAATGCTATATAAAGCATTCCCTATTTTTAAATCAGATGCTGCCTGCACATATTCAGTTCAAGTTCTGTGACCTAAAATTTCCTTTCAGTGAAAACTTTATAATAAATAATATCCAGAGCCCGTCCACTGTCACTCCCTCATTGTGTATTGTTTAAAATCAAGGTTGTTTTTCTGACTGTCTTCTATTTTAGATTGGTTTCTTGCCTTATGGCCTCATTTAGAATTGTGTATCGGTAGCATTCTAACTAAGTGTATTTAAATGTTGTATGCTGTATTGCTGCCTAAACAAGGCTAAGGTAATATAAAAAATAATCTTGGATGTTCTGGAATATTTTGTATGCTATAATTAATTGTGGATTTTTTTTAAAAAAAATATTCCATACTGAATGGCTTTTTCAAAGTCCCTTTTAAACCTTGGTTGGTTTAAATCAGGGGTGTCAAACTCGAGGCGCGTGGACCAAATGTGCCACCTGCTGGCCATGCCCACCTCCAGTTTAGCGAAGGGGGGGAGTCCTGATACGTCATGTGATGATGACTTAATGCCATGAGTTTGACACCCTTACTTTAAATCAAATGCCTTTGAAGGAGGACTGTTTTGTCAAAAAAAATAACATTTTTATGATTTTGTTCCAAATAAATATTATTCAGTTGAGAATAACGACATAAAGTTCAGATAATTAAACTGAATTTAAATTAGTTGCTCTCAAGAACAATACTTGGGCCTCGTTTAAACCTAATGTTTTTAACAGTATTTTGAAAACATGTATTCATTACAAATGGTTCCTAATCTTTGAGAATGTTTTAAAAGCTGGTACCTTCTGCTACAGAAAAGTGTGCATAAGTACACAAAATATCTAATATGGTTAATTTTATAGCACAGGAAGTGGATTTTCTTTCCCTAGTCAGAATATAAATGTAATCATTACAAATGTACCATCTCATTTTTCATGCAAAAATTAATGGCCGGTTCCTTAAAACCTTGAAATAAATTTAGATTTCACAAATAAAAAACTTTAATTGTGCCCCAAAGTAAATTTCATTGAGGAACTGCTCATTCCTTTTTGGTTTGAATAAGAAATTGAAATTGTGGTGGTTCAGAGACTCCTGTAAAGTCTTATGGAATCCATAGTTCATAAGTTAAGAAGCTTTGCTCTCTATGTACATAAAATGATTCGGAAAGTCAATGCACCATTTTGGAGGCTTTGGGAAATTATCTCTTCCTTTCCTTATTTCATTTAGAAAGTTTAAATTTTTAGCAAAGGG